ATAAAGAATAAAATAAAATATTAAAATCACGATGTATCTCGCTGCATTGCGCGAATACGCTTCTAGTATATATATATATATATATATATATATATCACATATTACTAATTATTACTATATTATCAAAAAATTAGTTTAATCATTGAACTGTAATCCATATTTTATAAAAAAAAAATCAATTGTCTAATATTAATATACAACAAATACTCTTAACACGTATCAAATTTGATGGGTTTGAATACTTGACATATAGGGGTGTCAGATTTGTACCAAGACAAACTAACCAATTTTTGTATCAACCAAATCAATTTAGTTGGTATCAATCTAATTGGTTGATAGTATCGTACCAACAATAAAACTTAGTTGATACGTGGTATTAGAAATTGTATACAACGATAATACTATACCATACCAATTTATTTATTTTATTATTTATGAATTAAAATTTAATCAATAATATAAACACATTTGATTTTGATTTTTTATTATCTTATTTTCGATTTTGCTAAATCACAATACAAATGGATATACGGAACTTGATTGAATTCATTCGTCTAAAACTAACAACCTTAGTTACCCGTCCATACTTGCATAGTCCACTGACGCTCCTCAATAGCCGCTTGTATTAGACTATTAGTGAACATTTATGTATAGATATACTTGGATAAGTATGAATAAGTGGTACAACACATATCAACATGCTATTTGAATGTTCTGCGTCTAGCAGATCTAGATATAGTTGGTAAATATATCAATATAAATAAATTTGTAATTTCAACATTTGCGATGTTGGTACAATACCAACCAACTATAGTTAGTTGGTACATGATGTAAAACTTTACATATCAATTATAATTGATTGATACACAATATGTGGAAAAAAAAATGATACTTTACCATGTTCACCTTTATTTCTTATAAGACAGGTTTTTCCAGTATCCTGATTACAGGTAGACCAATGATTTTTTTTTTCCTTCCCAATAATGTCATTTTCTAGATCGACATCGAGTTTGACTAAGATGGAGCAACACCAAATATCATGAGCAAATGTAACTGGGATAACATTGTTTCGTAGAAGTTGCGATGTGAAATCAAGAAATTACTAAATAGAATTTAATTCAGAGCCGTTTAAAATACTTTTATAAATCCATTAAATGTTTATCTCAAATTTTAACAATTTCACATTTTGATATAATATAAAATAATTATTGTTTTCTGTTTGTTAACTAAATTTAAATGCATTTACTATTTTAAACTTTTGCAAAAATATGATAAAAATAGTAACAAAATAATGTACGATATAATCGTAAGAATATCGAGAGAGGATTAAACGAAAAGACGACCAACTTGTAAAAAGCTTATAAGTCTGACTTATTAATAGTGATTATTTAATATCAATCAATTCCAAATATTAGAACCAATTTAAAACAGTAATTATCTTAATTTTTTAAACAATTTACTATTTATTATTTATGACTAGAAGGGTACTCGCACAATGCATTGATATACATTTCGATTTTAATATTTTGTTTTTTTTTTTGTCTCAATCAATGTTATAATACAGTTTTATATGATTTTGAGAAAACGATAATGTTTTTATTTTTGAAAAATTAAAAATACGAAGATATTATAAAAAATTGAAAAAAAAGATTGATATTAGTAGTAAACAGACTATTTAAAATCTCTCATTTTTTGTGTATTTTTTTAATTCATTTATTATTATTTTTGGTTTAATAATATTTTTTTATAAAGATAATAATTAAGTATTTTGTTAGAACTTATTTTATATTTTTTATATTTAAAATGAAATGTTTTCTCTATTTGATTATATTTATCTGCAGTCACTCACATGAATTCAAACATGAAACTTTAATAAGTTGTATTTGCGCACAATTTACTCGTATTCTTTAATTGTAAGTAATATACATCAATAAATAATACTTCATGCATAAAATATTATTTTTTAAAGTTTTTATAAAATATTTTATAATATAATACAAATATTTTCAACGAGTTACGTGATTCATAACTTTACGACTGTCTTCAATTTGAACCCGACTTCGATGAAATATAAAATAATTTATAAAACAATATTAGTAAGTTTCCAAAATTATCAAATCGCATGTTCATAGTATTGATCCTACAAGTCAAAGCAAGGGGTCGACTTCAATCTGCCCTCTTAATTCTCCCTCTCACACCATCTCTGTGACTCCAGTCTCAACGGCATACCTGTTGCTACCATCTACTTTAATTCTTTATATATACCTATTATATCCACACCTTCCTCCTTCAATTTCCCCCCTCGCTCTGTGTACTGTTTGCTTTCTTCACCACTCAGATCGATCTGTTTTCATCTAGTGCAGCCATGGGAACGCAAGCTCAAACTCAACAATTCTATAGCGATAACAATAGCAACAGCAACGACAAGGTGCACTTCAATTCTGAATCTATGTTTTTATTTATTATATGAATTTAGACGAAATATTTTGTGTTTTTGTTCGATTGATTGATCCTTTTTATCGAGAGATTAAACGTAATAGAAGCGATCAGTCTGTGAAACGTATGGAAGAAGATAAAGATGTTTGACGGTAGGCATTGTACGTATGAGATCTAGTTTTTGTTCACGTTTTCACGATTTGATCAACGACGACGTGATGGCAGCGTGATCGATTTCCTCTCCGAACTGTTGGTCAACTGTGTTGACCAAAGGGAAACGAGGAGAGCATGGGTTTCCATGTCCGGACAAATATATCTGTTCATGGGCCTTTAGTTCAGATGTCAGATCCGTATCTTCTCCAAAAGTGTAGGATGCTAAAAAGCTACTTTTTGTTTATGACGAGGGGGTAAAATGTACATCAACTGTAAATTTGGGTACCAAAATAGTACAAACTTGTTTCTACATGACCTTTTAACAGAAACAGAAAATTTGTTGCTGCACATGGATAAGTTAAGATTATTGACCCTTCCCTGTAAGCATATGGATGAACGACCCCTTAGTTGAACCTTTTGAAGTTGACTCGAAATTTTGAGTAAAGCGATTTTCGATTAGAGTTTTGTAAATACTATCAAAATTTGATGGGTCAATTGATTTTTTCGTTCATTTCGATATATTAACCATTAATAAAAACAGTTTTTAATACTATACAAGTTTTGAAGGCGATATAACTCTGCATTAAGCATCACATCTTTGATATTTTAAGTTAAAAGATCAAAATATCTGTTTTTAATACATTTATGATATTTTATTACGTAAAATCTTATAGTAAAAATGAAAACAAAATATTTTGTGTTTATGTAGGATTTTGGTAAATATTTATTAAATGATAGTAAATAATATGATATATTTAGAATAGCATGTAATACTACTTGTTAGTTGTTACCATTTACCATCGCAATAAATTACTTTAATTACTTACGTGATGTAAAAATCTTACAATAAAAAGAATGATTTCCCACATGATTTGAAGATTATCCCTCTTTTAAAGAAATCTTTGCTGATATATATTTAGTTGACGATATTCCAAAAAGAAGTGAATAGTGGACACGCAACAAGTGGCATAAAGTTATACCGTGCCCTCAATGTTCTCTGTTCCTTGTCTCCTATTTTCAATCCATATCGTAGATTCTAGCATTAGATATTTTCTCACAATATTGCTTCTCTTAATCTTGAATGAAAAGTGGGCACTCAAAAGATTAATTTCACTCTTTGGGGTATAAGTCATGTCTGAATACACGGTGAGATATAATGAGTCGTTTGGTTTAGTTAATCTTGTTCAACGTCTTTTCATCGATCTTTTGTTTGTATAACAGGTTGACAATCGAACTGCAAGAGAGAAGGCAATTGATGAATGGCTTCCAATTACATCCTCACGGAATGCAAAATGGTGGTACTCGGCTTTTCACAATGTAACCGCCATGGTTGGAGCTGGAGTTCTTGGTCTCCCTTACGCCATGTCCCAACTTGGATGGTTAGTTCCCCAACTCTCGGTGTTTTCCATGTGCTAACACTACAACAAAATTGATTTTATAGGATTCCTAAAATGTAGAAATTTTATAAAAAATACTTTATGAAACCCAGGTTTATAGGAATAAACCAAAAACGTCATATTTAAAAGTATTACAATAAGTTTATAGGACGTTTTTAGGTGTTATAACAAGTTTTTAGAATTTTTTAAAAAAAAAAATACAGTATCATATTAACTATTTTATACCACACTATTTGAAAAAATATCTTATAAAAAAATGAGTTTATAGTTTCAAAAGGGTCCTTTAAAATAGTTGATACAACACTACGCATAAAACCGTCTTGATGAACTATTGTAATGCTTTTACATATGAATCTTATAGTTTGATCGTATAGACTTAAGTTCTATAATTTATTCTATTAAGACACTTAGGCAATCTAGGGTTCTATAAAGCTAATTTTGTTGTAGTGTAATCTGCATCAAGATGCAATGAAGTTTGCTTGATTTCTCATTTATTCTACTTTTATTATTTCACGTGACTAAACTGCATCAAAATGTAAAAGAGTTTGTTTTAGTTCTTATTTAGTTTGATTCTAATATGGCTCAAAACCATGATTCAGGGGTCCAGGAGTAGCAATACTAGTACTATCATGGATTGTAACTCTATACACACTATGGCAAATGGTTGAAATGCATGAAATGGTACCTGGGAAACGATTCGACAGATACCATGAGCTAGGCCAGCATGCTTTTGGCGAAAAGCTTGGTCTTTACATCATCGTTCCACAACAATTGATCGTTGAAGTTGGCGTCAACATCGTCTATATGGTCACCGGAGGAAAATCCCTGAAGAAATTCCATGATTTGGTTTGCAAAGATTGCAAAGACATTAAGCTCACATACTTCATTATGATCTTTGCTTCCGTCCATTTTGTTCTTTCCCATCTCCCCAATTTCAATTCCATCTCCGGTGTGTCTTTGGCCGCAGCAGTCATGTCCCTCAGGTACGCTATATTTACCATACTAGTTTGTGAAACAAAAACAAAAATATCTTCAAATTGGCCCCATGACTGTTCCAATATTTTTTTTGAGAAAATTGACCAAAATAGACTGATCTCTCCAATTAAATTCACTTTTTAGCTACTCATGAAACCAAATTTTCATTTTAGCCGAAGTTTACGTAAATGCTTTACACATTTGCATAAAACATATTTTCAAATTAGAAAAAGAAAAAGATGATTTACACATATTACACGAAAGAAATTATTTTTTAATCTGAAAATCGAGTTCAAGCAACTGCATAAGCTAAAATGAGAATCCGATTGAAAAAGTGGCAAAAAAAATGAATTTGGTTGAGGCGATCGGCTATTTTGATCAATTTCAGAGACGTTTTTGGAAGACATGCTACATTTGTACCAAAATCATAGTTTGACTGTATGAGTAATAAATAAATAAATTATCCACAATACATATTAGCCGGTGGTTTTCACGAAAACAACCGTTCTATTCTTTTGGTGGGAGGTCAAATCTGCATAAATCTAACATTACCAGACCCTACTTTTAGGTGAGATATACTGGGTTGGGTTGGGTTGGGTTGGTTTGGTTTTACAACATATTATATAGAAAATCTTACAATTTAAAACTACAAAAATACATATGAAATTCATATAAAAAATCATTTCTCTAACATGTTTCATGCTAGTAATTAATAAGGTGTGACCGTCCACAAATCCATCGTTTACCAACTAACCGTGACATGCATTTTAAAAAAATGACATACGGATCCATATATCACACATCGAGCACGGTCCTGACTAACACAATTCCGTGATGCAGTTACTCTACCATCGCATGGTCTGCTTCGGTGAAAAAGGGCGTGCAGCCAGACGTACAATATGGATACAAAGCTAGCACGGTCACGGGGACGGTATTTAACTTCTTTAATGCATTGGGTGAAATTGCTTTTGCGTACGCTGGCCATAATGTGGTGCTGGAAATTCAAGCCACCATTCCTTCGACCCCTGAAAAGCCTTCGAAGGGTCCGATGTGGAAGGGAGTTGTGGTTGCGTATATAGTCGTGGCCTTGTGTTACTTTCCGGTTGCTCTTATAGGGTATTGGATGTATGGAAATGCCGTCTCGGATAATATATTGATCAGTTTAGAGAAACCAACGTGGCTCATTGCAATGGCTAATTTGTTCGTTGTGGTTCACGTTATCGGAAGCTATCAGGTTCGGATTCTATATCTCGACTTCACCATCTTCTAGTCGTTTTTCGTGTGCTAAGATTTGTTGAACCCGTATAAATCTCTCTAAAAGAGGCATCAAAAGGAGAGGTTCCTGCAAATAGTGAAATTGACCAAAATAACCAAATTTTCTAACCAAATTCACTTTTTAGCCAATTTTTTCATAGAATTCCCATTTTAACCGGGCTTTAAACAAATGAACTTGATTTTCATATTAAAAAAGGAAAAAATATTTACTCAAATTTGCATTAGAATCCCAATTTGCATGAATAAAAATTTTCATCTTTTTTTAATCTGAAAATCGGTTCTACCCAAATGGCTAAAATGGAAATTTGGTTTCAAAAATGGCTAAAAACTGGACTTGGTTGGGGAGATTGGCTACATTGGTCAATTTTCCCTACAAATATTTATATACAAGTTTGATGATTCGTGTTTAGTTTACATGGACTCCAACACCGTAACACATCCCCTTCAAACAGATGCCAGATGGTGCCCCAAGAATGGAGGCAAAAGAGTGTGTCGGATCGAATTCTTTTGTAGTGATAGATCCTGACTCTAGATATACCATCTAAAGATATGTAGAGCCCATTTGCATTTTCCGAGAGCCTTTATAGAGAGCCCTATGTTAGACGAAGAATCGAGTGAGAATATAATCCAACATATCTAATTATATCTATTTCTTTTCCCTCTAGATTTATGCGATGCCGGTATTTGATATGATTGAAACCGTACTCGTCAAGAAATTACACTTCACTCCAAGTTTTACGCTACGCTTCATCACCAGGAACACATATGTTGGTAAGCTAAAACATTTTAACGGTAACTACGCATGAATCATATATCTATGTAATCGTTTTACCTTCTTGGTTTACTAAACTCTTTCTTTCGGTTGCAGCATTAACAATGTTCATTGGCATTTGCTTCCCATTCTTCGGTGGGCTTCTTGGTTTCTTCGGAGGATTTGCATTTGCCCCGACAACATACTTTGTACGCAACATTTTATTCGTTATATATATCTTTCTCTCTCTCGGTTCATTTGCAAAACGGTTCTAACTTTGTTCTTAATGCTCAGTTGCCTTGCGTCATTTGGCTTTCCATCTATAAACCGAAGAAATGGAGCTTATCTTGGATCATCAACTGGGTATGTAACCATAACATCTCCCAACACATTCTTTTCCTTATACTGCATTTCAACAAAATAGGTTTTATAAGTAACCAAAACTAGGGGTGTTTACTGTGTGGTTTGGTGTGATTTAGGATCAAACCGCATCGCATATACTTTAAACCGCATGCACATTTTACATGGTGTGCCTATTACGTTTTACGTCTTCAATCCAATAATTATAAAATTAAAATTTCATTATAAAATTAATAATAACAAACCGTGGTTCATAGTGTTGTTTGGTAAAAATACAAAACTCAAACCGCACCGCGGAAGTTTTAAAGCACATTTGTGGTATGGTGTGAGGGTTTGTGAAGTTTGACGGTTTAAAACAACACCTTTAGCCAAATATGTATTAAATGTCTTAGTACATTGTCTTATAGGTCTGAAGTTTATGTGACCAAACTAATATGGTTCTATAACTTAAGTCCTATAAAACAACCTATTAATACATTTAGATGTTTTTGACATCCTATAAAACCAATTTTGTTATACTGGTATACCATTCTTGGGTGTTTGATTTCATCAACACTGTTTTTGTGTTACAGATCTGCATTGTATTTGGAGTTGTTTTGATGGTATTGTCCCCTATCGGGGGATTGAGGCAGCTCATCCTCGACGCTAAAACTTACGAATTTTTCAATTAAGATGTCTTATTTGATCAAACAAGCCGAGGTTAATTAACGTACAATTAATTAAGACCTTAAAAAAGTCGAAGAAGCTTGTGATGATATGATATCTCTATTTACAGGTCTATAGAGTGTTAATAGAATGAGCTTGTGGGCTTTTAAACCCTTTCGTTTCGTTCATTTCTACTTCACATGTTTATTAAATTATCTACATTTCCACTTGAATTTGGGACCGTGGTATACACCTTCGCTTTTATTAAATTATGTGTCAAATCAAATGTTGAGTTTCTTTTTGCGAAAGAAGTATATAAATCTAGATCATCCATGACTGCAATTATAAGAATCCGAGTTTTTCCAATGGGTTGCTGGCTTGAAGCTGCCCAACGCATCGTTTCACTCGTGATAAGGTCTCGTGTCATCTAAAGAACTCGGCAACTGCTCGTGAGTTTTGAAGTCTTCAAGAAACCGAGATGTCTCATAAGTTTCAACCATCTTTCCGCTCTGCAATCACACAGAATCAAGTTTTGACGAGTGGAGGGATCCTACCATTAGTGAGAATCCCCGTAGTAGTAAATTTTGGTTTTAATATCATGTAAGAATAGAGATGCACAAGGCCCTTGGTTTTTTATGCCTGACCTGGGCCTTTCAACCATGATTTCAGTAAGCAAAAAATAGCCCAAACTTTTTTCAGCCGAAGTTGGGTGTGAGATGACCGATAGGTTTTTTCAGGCTTTTGAAAAGAACTTATCTGATCGGGCTTTTAGGCGTGGGCTTTGGATTGCTATGTTGTGTTACAGAAAGAATAAAAGTTAGGGTGGAAGGTGAGAACAAAACCTTCATATACATTCAATTACATTAACGTACCTTTATTTACCTATTTATCTTATCATGGACGAAACTTTAACAAATTCATGCATGCGAAAGTGATTAAATGTATGTAAAAGTTCGTGAAAGTGACTTAAAAGTGACCATAAAGGTCGATGAATATAGTTGAAAGTAATTGAAGGTACTGAAAGTGATTAAAAAATTTTAAGTTAAATTAAAAAGTCAAATCATCCAAAAGCTCTAAAGTGTTCTAACTATTCACGTGCATTCCTATCTAAGATAAATGGTCTAAATCTAGCCGATTAGGAACGAGCACTACTATTGACCCATTCCAACATGAGTTATGACCTTCTATTGCAAATATGGAATGATGGCACATGAATTTTACCTCAATAATACATGGTTCTGCTTCTGTATGATTCTGTTTCCCTTGCAAATGGTCATCCAACATCTTGCTTAATGTGAACAAAGCATCATTGTTGAGATCATCAATATCAACCTCAATTTCCAATCTCTTCAAGATCTAATTTCTGTTGTTTAGATTCAACTTCAATGGGCTTCCATCTTTGCTCAAAAAACTTAACATGAATAACTACCATGAAATGGACATCGTTACCCGGAGGCTTATATCTCATGGTATTCGAGAATGTAAGCATGACATCAGCTCGGAAGTCGAATGGGCTTGAATATTTGCGTGAATCGAGTTTTTCTTTTGTCGACCCTAAATCCATGGGATTCTTGATAACATTGTAGTAATAGGGATATTGAATTTGACAAAATCAATGGGCTTATTGAACATCCAACCATGCTTGTGCGACCAGTGGCGGACGCACCTTAATGGGGTAGGGGGCCTGGCCCCCCAACAATATTTTAACACCAAAGCCCAATTTTTTTTTTTACTTGTATTTTTAATTACCTCTTCTTTAGGCCCCCAACCATATTAGACAAGAGGCCCCTCTCTAAGTCTCTAACCTATAAATCTGCTTACCTGCACGACGGGAACGAATTTAACGATGGACAGAGGAGAGCTGGAGAGGAGTAGAGCGAGCGACTCGAGTGTGACGAGACCGAGACCGAGTCGACGGTGCTGGCGCCTGGCGTGCAGCGTGCTGCAACCTGCGAGCGAGAGGCGAGAGTGACGAGACCGAGACCGACTGCAACCTGTGCTCTGGCTCCTGCTGCTTGCTGACTGCTGTCGCCTCTAAGCCTCTTGTCTTGGTAATTGGTAAATATTCTAAATATCTAGTTTCCATCTTCTAATTTTTCAATTAGTAGTATTTTAGGTTAATTTTGTGGTAATTGGTAAATGCTTTAGGTTAGGTATTTATTTAAGTTAATTTTGTGGTAATTGGTAATTGGTAAATGCTTTAGGTTAGGTATTTATTTTA